CTTCTTCTTCTCCTTCTTCTGCTGCTCTTCCTCCTCCTCCTCCTCCTCCTCCTCCTCCTCCTCCTTCCTCTACTTTTCTCCCCTTCTCCTTCTTTTTCTCTTCTTCTTCCTCCTCCTTCTCCTTTTCCCCTCTTCCTTCTCCTTTCCCTTCTCTTGAGACAGCTCTGGATGGCCTAGAACTCACTGTGTAGGCCAGGCTGGCCTTGAACTCCCAGAGATCTGCCTGCCTCTGCCCCACCCAAATGATGGGAATAAAAGCATATGCCATCACACCCGTCAGACACATTCTTTTAAAGGTTAATAGGTCAAACACGTCAACTACAAGGTAGAAATCAGGCTTCTGCTCTCATCCACCCTGGGCCCTGGGGTGACAGTGGGCAGGTGTCCCCTCACCACTGTCACATTGTGCCTCCACTCAGGGTGATGATTCTTGGACTGTCAGCAATGTGTGCACATTGAGAAATTTTCAGAACAGTGCTACACAAAATCTAGCATTTGTTTTTTTAATGATTTTTAGTTGGCATACAAAATAGTGAGTTTCATTAAAACATTGTCATGTTGTATCACTGTAGCTTGCTATGAAACTCCCCACTACTCTCCCAGCTCCCTATTCCCCCACTTTCTGGTCCCTTTCTCTCCTCTCACCCAGATAGTCTTCCTTCTGTTCTCATGGTGTGTGTGTGTGTGTGTGTGTGTGTGTGTGTGTGTGTGTGTGTGTGTGCGTTTGTGTGTGTGTGTGTTTTTAAGTCTTGTTTCTGTATATAAGAAACATTCCTGGCAATACCAGACTCTGTGCATTCCATAACTAGTGAATCCTCACTGATGGAGATAGATAGAGATGGATCGTGGTAGGCAGTTGGATGGTCTGGGCCAGGAACATCCAAGGCCATACCTACTACTACCTGACATGTGGCAGAGACAGTATAAAGCCTCTGAGTCTGAGGCACCCAGGCTCTCACTGCCCACACACAGACAGTTCCACCTCATGCCACAGGTGGCAGTTCTGTGTACACAAAGACTGAAGCCATCCCCATTCCCATCTTGACTTCTGCTAGGGCTTCGGCTGTCTATGACTCTCCCCTCCTCACCTGCCAGAGTCACCACTGGAAACCTCTGGTCTTTTTTGTCAATTGAGCATGTTTGGACAGAAGCCACAGATGTTTTGCAAGTGACACTGTTGTCTAATTGAGGCTGCTGTCTGTTATTTTTTGCCAGAGATTGTATTTTTCTGATTTCGAATTCCGTGCTGTTTATATTTGGATGCAAATTCTCCAGGCTTGATATGCTCTGTCTCTAAACACTGGAGCACATGCACTGCACACAAATATTCTGTAGTTCGTGTTTCATAGTTGATAATTGGGGGTGGGGTTGAGAAACTTGAAGGCAATGTTAATAATTTGAGTAACAGCAGTAATCCAGGTACAGAGAAATTCCTGTCACATGCTGGGGACTTCCAAGTATGTCAGGTACACTTCTCTACTTTATTCTCCCACAAGTACTAACTGGGGTTCCAACCCCAATAAACACACCAAAGACATAGCAGAATTCCAAGGAATTGTCTGTTGTCTTGAGCCAATAGGAGCACCCCATGGCCCTGGATGTTTCCTCCACAACCCCCCCAAAACATATTTCCTCATGTTGCAGCAGTTTGGCTCATTCAAAAGCCAAACACACAACCCAGGAGTGAACACTGGGTAATTCTTATCTGGACTGTGGTGCTAACATAGCTATGGGTCTTCCCTCAGCCATTTCATCTCTCATTGCAGTAAGCAGAGCTTTACATCTTGGCTTCTTTGGGTGAGTGGATTCATGGAGTCATTGAATAGACCCAGAATGGACCCCTGGCCAATGGACTAAATCATCAGATCTCTATTAGAGTGGTCATGTTTAAAATGTAGTTTTGGTGTTCCTTGGGGAAGTTAAAATGCTCTGAGGTCTCACCAGACATTCCCAATGAAGAGAAATACAGTCACAGACTCCTCACCCAGCCGGGTTTGGAAACAGCAGGCCCTGGTGACTCCCTTGAAACTCGCTAAGCAATAGGAACATAGCTTGCTGGACATGACGTTATTGTGAAGATCATACAAGGCAGTGATCTGTCTCTAAAGTTCAGCTCCATGAAGCATTTCATGACTCATTTTTACAGGGTCCCTGTGCTCCGATAGAAGGGTCCCTCTGCCAGCACCCATCTGATGGGCTGCAGTCAGCCAGTGTATTGACTGGGAGTGGGTGCAGGGAGCAGAAAACATACTTGCTCTATTTGATCCAGTGTGTGGTATTGCTATGTGCTATGTGCAGCCTGGCACCAGCTAAGAAAAATGGGAATCTATGTTCCTATTCCAGCTACAATGATAATATAAGAAATGAACCTTATAATTAAAAAGAGAAAGGCATGCTTCTCCCGCTTATCCACACTCATGGGAAAACATGACACTCTGATGAGCAGTGACATCACACATGCCCCAGATAAATTTTCCATCTTGGAAGTTTTTAAATATCTTTACAGGTGCCACATTAAAACCATATGAGTTTCCTTTTTCTTTGTGAATTTACAAGGGGCTCAAGTGGAACGACAGACTCGAGGGTCTCCAGTATGCATCTCCAATGCTGGAAAAGTCCCCAGAGGAGATGCATCTAAGCTTATTCAACGGTCTGCTCATTTGAATTGCAGACCAACTGGGGTGGGTTTCTCTGAGGATTCCTCTCTTGATGAGACTGAGTTCTGAGTGGAGACCTGGGCTGTTGTTGCTGACTCTGCCATAATTTTGTTCTCCATCTTTCCCACTGTCTTGGATGTTGACAGTTCTGTGGAAACAAATCATTCTCCGCAACGGAGGTGTGCTCACCAACGCCTTGAACATCAGTTGCTTGTCTAAAGTCACTGATGGCTTCACACAAGGGCAGATCGTCAAAGTAGTCAAGGAGGTGCTCACGGACCGCAGGGTCCGGCAGCAGTCTCACAAACCGCTCACCGCCGTCGAGTTCATCACCATCATGACCACCATGAACCCGGTGTACAGAGAGGAAGAAGAGAGCTTCAAGGTAACCGAGCATCCTGCTAGCTAAACATGACATCCTCTCCCCCTCCGGCTTCCTGGCTTCCATAGATTCAAGTCCTACCATGTGCAGTTCCCAAAATCTTTTACACCTCAAGCAGTAGGTCTTGTGAATTTTATTTTAAGTGCACATGTCTTTTGGAACTCAAAAAAAAAAAAAACTGTCATCTGTGGCCTTACAGAGTTATAAACAGCCAAACTGCAGGATTCAAAGGCACTGATTTCAGAGCTGGGAATGTGGGGGTGGAGCTTAGTGGCACAGCATTTGCCTAGAATGCACAAGGTCCTGCTCTCCCTCCCTCTCCTCCTCCCCCTCCCTCTCTCCCTCCCCTCCCCTCCCTCTCTCCCTCAAATTAGGGCAAGGTCTGGCAAGGTCCAGGGGCTCAGCACATCCTGCTGAATCAGAGGCCTATGTCTTGCTGGGTCTTTTCTGCAGCCTCCATGGCTGCCAAAGCAGGGGGCCTTTCATTACCTGTGCCAAAGAAAGTCACCACCATGTCACACTGTCACCAAAAGGAGGCTTCAAATTTTCATTCAAGATTCTCACCTCCAAGAGCCTGCTCAGATTTCCCCTATAGAATTTCCCATCAAGCCTAAAACTGTTTTTTCCTTCCTACTTTGTCCCCAAGTGCTTTGGTTGGAAGTGAGAAACTGTAAAAATAATGTCCCAGAAGTAGTGTCCCAGCTGGAGGGTGGTGAGCACTTCCTGTAAAGCTCCAGAGGGAGAGCTTAGCAGTGGTGGGGCACACCTTTAATCCCTAGCACTTGGGAGGCAGAGGCCAGTGAACTCTGAGTTTGAGGCCAGCCTGATCTACAGAGTAAGTTCCAGGACAGCCAGGGCTATACAGAGAAACCCTGTTTCAAAAAAAAAAAAAAGAAAGAAAGAAAAGAAAAGAAAAGAAAGAAGGAAAGACCCAGAGAGAAGTTGGGGCTTTGCTAGCCTTGCTGCCTGGGCCACCTGTGAATCATAACACAAGAACCTCTTACACAGAGTGTACACAAAGGACGGTGGCTGAGTACCAATAAAACTCTTTACAAGACAGAAAACAGGCTGGGTTTGGCCCATTGCTATACTTTGTGAACTCCAGCAAAACTGAAAAAGAAAAACAACTTCAGCTGCAGCTGCTACACTAATGATTTTATTTTATTTTTATTCTATCCTGTTAACTGTTTAATTTAACATTATGATAACAAAAATTCATCATTCCCCAGTGATATAATCTTTTCTGAAATTCTGCCTTTTTTACCCTTTTCTAAAATACTGACTTCCACCCTTATTTTGAGGAATGTGATTTAGCATGTTAAAACATGAACCTGTTATTTTTTAAATTTGCAAACTGATCTCTAGGAGTTTTGCCTGCAGTGGGTGTTTGAGGACTGACTGTGACTCTGGGCACAAATGCATATGCCTCTTGCCTCCATTCTTGGTGGAGTTAGTCATTCTGTTCATTTCTAAAGAAATGAAATCATTGCCCCACCATTAGCCTATTCCCCAATCATTAGTGTAGCAGCTAGCACAGTGCAATCCCAAGTAGATGTTCAATAGATTTGTTCATGACTTGTTCATTGAACAGATGGGATGATGTCATCACACCCCCGGATACTGTGATGACCACTACTGACATGGTGCACAATCTGGACCATAAATTTTCCCAGACTGTGTTTCTAAGAACATGTCTGCTGAGCTCATAGTTCCTCGGGAACATTCTGTCCTGTTCCTTGGATGTAGCAGAGGAAACGTGGGATGCTATGGATGATATAATCATTTAGACCTCATAGCCTTCTGTTTTATGAGGAAAGGCCTGAGCTATACAGAGGTGTGGTGGATGTCATCGTTAGGGTTTCTGTTGCTGGGAAGAGACACCATGAGCACAGCAACTCTTACACAGAAAAACATTTAATTGGGGTGGCTTACACTTTCAGAGGTTTAGTCCATTATTAGCATGGTATGACATGGTGGCGTGCAGCCAGACATGGTGCTGGAGAAATGGCTTGCAGGCAACAGGAAGTCAATGGAGTGTCACACGGAGCAAGGCTCGAGCCAAAGAGACCTCAAATCCCACCCCCCACAGTGACACACTTTCTCAAAGACACACCTACTTCAACAAAGGCACACCTCCTAATAGTGCCACTCCCTTTGGGGGTAATTTTCTTTCAAACCACCATGGTGGCAAATAAGAGTCCCTCAAAGAGCTTGGTACACAGAGCTTGCAAGGCAAAGGGAAAGTAAGCTTGCTGTAGGCTGACCGTAATATCTTCAGACTAGCCTGAACTATTCCAGTGAGTCCAGTGGAATCCTGAAAGTAGATGAGGAGATCAGAAAAGAGAGTGAGAGAGATAGAGAGCCATTGGAGGGGTCCTCCCTGGCATCTAGCCCAATGTCACTAGCCTGTGGGTGGACAGGGAACCACAGACCAGAAGAGCAGGGGACTGGGGAAGTGACAGAAGGCAAGAGATCAGCCTGTCCTCTGGGGCCTCCAGAGAGGTGCACAGCCCTACCAATGCCTTGACCTTGGTTGGTAAGACCATTCCAGAACTGTGAGGTCCTAAATATGCTGCTTTGAATACTGATTTCAGTAATTTGCTAAAACAACAGAAAAGAAAGGAAAACAATACAAGAAACAGGAAATTCTGCAGGGCACTCAACCAAGAGCAGCAGAGCTATGGTTCATGGCCTACTCCAAATCCACATTCATTAGCTGGACCTACGCCATAGAATTAAGAACTCAGACTGAAATCCTTGACCACTTCACTTCTAAAAGTGGAGCCAAGACTACAAGAAGGATGCAAGGGTCCTTAGGTAACTCTCAGACTCTCAGACAGGTACTAGCCTCTGAGATAATGCATTTAGCTGAGTCCTGGGAGCATAAGATACACATATGTGGGGAAATGGCAAAATGGGCCCTGCATAGAATTGGGATGATTCCAGGCCTCATCAGGGAGTTTGTTCAATAAAAGTGTTCTATGTGATACTGAACACCTTGCCTGCACATTATCTAATCAAGGATCCATATAAACACTACTCCAGAGCACCGGAATCTCAACCTGAAATGCTAATATGCTTCAAAAACTTATATGATCATTAAAACTTCTGAAATCTCCTGGTCTACAGAACGAGTTCCAGGACAGCCTCCAAAGCCACAGAGAAACCCTGTCTCAAAAAAACCTATATATATATATCTATCTATATACATATATAGATATATAGATATATATACCTTATATATATCTTATCAAAAGCAATGAGAAAAAACATTCTGTGTGGAAGTGCATTTAAGTCAAGGGACATCTGATTCCCCTTATATATATACCTTATCAAAAGCAATGAGAAAAAAACATTCTGTGTGGAAGTGCATTTAAGTCAAGGGACATCTGATTCCTACAGGAAATATGACACCTGACGAAAAAAAAGTTCATAATAAAAAGCATTATAACCCAGAATGAAATAACATGGGGAGACCCAGCACATACCAGTAACAGAACTGGGACCACTATGAACTTACAGAACATTCTGAGGAATGCTACATATTAAGTATGATTGAATTATTAAAAGCCAGAAACATTATATGGAGGAAAACACATATACCCAAGAAAAAGAACCAAATAGAATATCTGATACTAGAAAAACAATAGACATTAAAGTGAAAATTAAATGAATATGCTGTCTGTTGACTAGACATAAGAGACACTAAATGTAACCTTCAGATGGACCGGGAACCACAGGCTGTTAAATTAATGTGAAAATCAGAACTGAAAAATGTTGTAGAAAATATAGTGTTTATGTAACAACAATTACTTTAAGAAGAGACTATGAAATTGAAAGAGACCAAAGAGAGGAATATGGGAAGGTTTGGAGATAGGAAAAGGAGAGGGGCAAATAATGTAATTATATTACAATCTCAAAAGATAATTTAAAAATTTAAAAGAACAATATGACAAAATGGTTTCAATACATATAATTACATGTTCAAGAAAATATGAAATGTTCAAGTGAAAATATGACTTCCACTAGAAATTCACTTTTACAAAGCCAAATTAAATAATAAGAGATAGTTGTCTTCTAAGACCACAAAACAATGCTTGTAAATTAAAATGTATAGTTGTAAATTAAATATCAAAAACTAAGAGAAGTGTGAACTCTAGAGTAGATAAAATTGAAGAGCAAATCACAGAACTGGAAAGTGGTCCTGAGGAGTTCCCCTAAAAAGGCATCACAGAAAAACAAAACAGAACATCTATAAAAGTAAAAGTAAAATCTACAAGTTGAAAGAAGTTGATCTTCAACTAACAGAATTCTTAGAAGAAAAGAATACAAAATAAGTCTAAAGTAATACTTGCAGAGGATTTTCCCAAACTAAAAGCATAAGGTATCAGACGAAAAATAAATTCCAGGCAGCCAGTCAGACAAATAAAAGCAAATCCATTCTTGTTCATTATTAGAAGTCTAAGAACAAGATAACAAACGAGGCTTAAAAGCTATCACATTGTCCCAAAGAAACAACACAGGCACAAACATCTCTTTGACAGCAAGAGATGCCAGGAAACAGTAACTTATACTTTCAGAGTGTTTAGGAAAAAATGATCATCTAGCTAATATTTATACCCGGCTAAACTAGCACCCAAGTGACAAGAGAAAGCAAAGACATTTTGAGACAAATGACTGAAATAATCTCCCACTTACCAAAAGTTGATCCATGTTATGTAGCCAGCAGGAATTCACTTTCTGTATACCCTTCCTAGAGAAGTCCTCTCACATATGTACAAGGGTCATGTAAAATTGTGAGCTACAGCTAGAGAGATAGCACTTGGGAGAGTACTTGCTGCTTCTTCCAGAAGACCCTAGTGTGGTTCCCAGCATCCATGTCAGGTGATGTACAACTGCTATTATTCCAGCTCCAGGGGATCTGATGCCATCTTCTGGCTTACCCAGGTCCCTGAACACATGTGGACACACACACACACACACACACAAACACACACACACACGGAAGAGAGAGAAGGGCAAAGGAGGGAAGGAGAAATCTTTTTTAACTGAATTGTAAGAAAAGTGATAAACAGCATGCAATATAACAATTTCCTGAGGTTATCTGTAAGGTTATAAATTGAAATGTTTCTCACATTTTGAATAAAATATTACAGTGCCATGTTTTCCACATCTCTCTCAGAAGGTGTTGAGTGACCTCCTGTGGTCATGCATGTCTGCCAATTGAGCTGCTAATGGCTGACCACACGTGAGGTAATGGGCACATTACCAGGAAACCCACATCCTCAGGGCAATCTTAATTAGGCAGGACCGTGCTTAGAAGTTGGTATATGATTCTCTAGAACTACTAACTACCTGAGGACAAGTTTCAAGTCACAGAAATCCAAGCTAGAAATGCAATGAGACATTTGTACTGAACACACATCAAATGCCCACTGTCTAACGACCACTTCCTGTCCCCCTCCTAGCAGATTCACCTTCACCATCAGGGTTATCTCAGTATATTTGTGTTGTCTGATCATTTCCTAACATCTTCTCATTTCAGAACTGGTATGCAAAAACCCCTCTCGGGAAAAAACGAATCATGTCACTTTCGAACAACGGCAACAAAGAAAAGGAGAAGGATAAAGGAAAAAAGAAAGGGAAACGGGGGAAAAAGAAGAAGTAATTTCTTCCTCAGCAGCCACCCTGAGCATCTTTGAGATGGTGATGGCCCCAGGTCATCGGGGAGAGGCTCACCCCTGCCCACCTGGGGAAGCCCAAGGAGAAACTAAGATGCAAGCGGCCATCCCAGGCACTGCACGCTTGTTCGGCCATCCTTTAGGAGGCTGGATACCAAGTGAGGTGTCCTTTACAGCCAGTTCTACTTGTTGCCGCTGTTCCTTAACTCATGCAAAATCTGTCTATGATTTAAGTTTGCTTTCTACATACCCTGCACTCTCCCCAACTCACACATTGGTCAGTATTAGCACCAAGACTATAACATGTTAGGGAGGTCTCTCCAGTGATGAGAGCTCCATAATTGTATTGTCGGTACACTAGCTGTTTATTAACCCATATGCATTGTATATTTTATTGCACGTATTTTAATACATTAATTATTTGCTGTAGTAATGAATGTCACATAATGAAATAAAGCTGTTGTCCTTGAACTGACTCGGTGATTTGATTGTTGGTGCTAAGCAAGGTCTTCACTGTGGAGTCTGTCACATGCAGATAAGGCTCAGGAAGTGTGGTGGCCCCCTCTGATATTTGGACCACTGCACTGAGATGGCTGGTCCCTAGAGGCCACTTGACCTCTGTAGGCCAAAGACTTGGCAAAAACCACAACATAAAAATGGGTAGGGAATGGAGAGATGGTTAAGAGTGTGTTTTGCCCTTGCAGAAGCCCTAGGTTAGGTTCCCATCACCCACATCACAAAGCTCACAACTGTCTGTAAGCCCAACTCCAGGGAACCCCAACTCCAGGGAACCCCAACTCAGGGACTCCAACACCCACTTGGGCCTCTGAGGGCATCTGTACTCTTATTATATATATATATATATATAATATATATATATATATCTTTTAAGATAAACATAGTAAGTGCAAATAAAATAAAACCCAAATGAGGAAACATAAAGAGATAAATGGAAGCTGGGTGGTAGTGGCGCACGCCTTTAATCCCAGCACTCGGGAGGCAGAGACAGGTGGATCTCTGTGAGTTTGAGACCAGCCTGGTCTACAAGACCTAGTTCCAGGATAGGCTCCAAAGCCACAGAGAAACCCTGTCAAGAAAAACCAGGGGGGTGGGAATAGAAATATTTGAGGATAGATGAGTTAAGGGGTCCAACATAGAATTTAAACTACTAAAATAGCGTTGAGGACTTAGTTACAGCAAGGAGAGATAACCAAGATGGTGTGATTATATTTCAATGCTAAGGATACCTTATCTAACAGTTTGGGGTACAGAGTCTCCATGTCTCCCACTGACAAGCCAGGCCAGATATCCAAGTTCTCTAGGACCCAGAAGCATGGCCCATGGCTCACAGCTCACAGGAAAACTAGTTCTCCAGCCAGTCACACATGTCCCAGCCTGCGTCTGTATGTGGTGGGCAGTACAAACAAGCAGACACAGAGATGCTCGCCGACCCTCGAGCCTTGGGCATGCTCTGTGTCCCAGATAAGTTCTTAGAATAGAAACTTCTGGGCTCAGTTATGGACACATTCTTTGGATTCTGTACTGTGCCCATTGCAAGAGTCGGGGGGCACACAGGAGAGTTCTGCCACTCGGGCTCTGGGGGAGTCTGCCCCACCGGATTCCACAGAGCAGCTGCAGTTGTCAAACTTGATGAGCTTGCCTGAAATCACGCTTAAGGCCCAGCCTGTGCTCTCCCAGGAGACACAAAAGCATCTTGTGAGAAAAGGGGGCACTCTCCAGTGGGGTTCTGCCATGGCCTCAGTTACTCCTGGGCCGTTATGTGGCAATTAGTGCCTATTGAGCATGCTCCTAAGTGAAAGGGCAGTAATTAATGTCATTTCCCCTCATTAAGGGAGCATTCTATGGAATGGTATCTGACCAGAGTGAAATTAGAGTTCCTGGTGGTTCCGCACCCAGCCTGCCCTTGTGAAGTAGAGCTCACAGCACCAGAAACAACTCTTCTCGGGGGTATTCATTTGCTACCATGGGTCCCTCAGCAGTTCTGTTTCCATAGAAGCTCAGTGGCAGCCCATCTGTCTCCTAGAACTTCCCATGGGCTGTCACCCATGGGATGCTCAGGAAGTTGCTGGGTGGTCCAGTGGTCACGAATGTTAATAAAACGCTGTATGGATGAAGGTACAGACAAGCTCTGGACATCCCTGGGAGATGGTCTGAATGGCAAGGTTTACTGCCACTAGCTTCACCCCTCAGGAACCATCAGCTGTCAGAGCCTGATGAGGTGCTGGAGTCAGCTCTCCTGAATCCACTTCTCTGTGTCACCTAGGAAACCCATGGGATGCAGGGATGCAGCCCAGCAGAGTAGATTTTAGTTCTCACAGTGGGCTTTGAGGAGATAAGAGGAACCCAAGGTCTGGAGGAGGTATGGCCTCTCCACCCCACCCTGATTTTGTTGTTGGATGATGGTTTCATTGCCTGAGGCATTTAACTCAGTTCCTGCACTTGGATAAAGGAAGGAAGGAGGGAAGGAAGAGAGAGAGAGAGAGAGAGAGAGAGAGAGAGAGAGCCAAATGGAAACTTCTGTTGTTGGCCAAAGGATTAGGAACTCGACAATTCAAAAGTGACTAGACAGCCAATTTTACTTGTATGAAGCAAGGGACTCTGACTGGCTCAAACACACAATCCCAGCCTTCTCTGTCAGCTCTGTAATACGGAGTATTTTTTTCTTTTTTCTTTCGTTTTTGCTTTTGTTGAGTGTAGGAGATCAAACTCAGAACACATGAGACAAGCTATGTCTACACACATATGCATTTTAATGGTCATGCACTTAGGCCTTGGCATGTAGGAACTGTTGATGGGCAAATGAAGCAAGCTAAGACAAACAGGAAAGCCAGTGACTGCCCAGCACAAGGCAGTTCTGCCTAGCAGTAGCACTACAGTCAGGTCTCCACCTGCATGGGGCCTGGGAACTGTTGTAGTTTTAAAAAGCGTTTGAGAGAAAGACAGAACTTGGAGATTTTTGAGGGGGGGAGAAGGTAAATGAGAAATTGGGGAGGGGAGAGGGGAAACCAGCCTCTGGTGAAAGGAGCATCAGAAGAGAAGGAGGAGAGGAGAGACAGAGAGACTGGCAGAGAAACAGAAAGAGAGGAGAATGGGAGGTGGGCAGGGCCCTTTTAAAAGGGAACATAGTGAATATGCACAGGTGGTGCTCTTAGTGGCTGCAGCTGAGGACGTATCCTGTCAGAACCCCAGGACAGGCCGGTACAGATTCCTGAATACTAACAGGAGCACCCTTCTAGGGGCCAGAGAAACTGAAGAGCAGTCATTCTGTAGCTTTGCAGAACTTGGGGGACCCTCTGCAGATACCCCAGTCCTCCATCTCAAACCTTTCATCTAATCTGTTTCATTAATGGGAGCCTCTTGGGAGATGGAGGCCAGCACACCTCTATCCATCACTCTTAAACACCTGACCTAATCTCTCAAGCCTTGTCCCTCTCCTCTCCTCAAGCCCCAACCTGACTAGACTAGAAAGCAGGCTATGAGGAGGCTCATGGTCCCCTACTCTAGGCCAAGTGGGACAGGGCTGAGTCCAGCTTAAACCAGTACAGCAACACACATACAAACACACCCACACATACAGGGACACATGCAAACAGAAGACCAAACACTTTGCATGCTTGTATGAAGATTACATGTATAATCATGTGTGACATCCATAAACTCACATGCACACATATGAACTATGCCAAATATACACACACAAACCCGGGTACACACATGTACACGGAATGTGCAGACACATGCACACACCACCCACTACAGATGTTCACAGAGCAGCACGTAAGAATAAATATATGCATACACACATTTGACATACACTCACATATGCACAGGTTTGCACACACTCAGCCCCGAGGTCGCCACTTCCTCAGAGGGCTGATGGCTGGTGCCTCTAGCCTGCACAACAGTGGGCCTTCAGGCCACATCTGGGAACTTCAGCAGGGACCAAACCAGCCCAGCAAATGCAAAAGACACTCAGGCAGGTGCTTGGGAGGTGTTGACGGTTTACTCTATGTAAACACCTCTTCCTGCTGCTCCTCCTGGGAATCAGACACCCCAGCTGCAGCAGGAAGGCTGATGCAGGAATCACAGCTCCTAGCTGGACCTCATTCACAAGCTGGGTAGGATGGACCCACAGATACTCCCCAGGAGAGTGGCGTGGATAGAGGCCACATTGTAAGGGCACCTCCACTGAGCATAGGGCCAGAAAAGTCAGGGGCAGATAAAGTCCTGAGATACCAAGTCTGACTGAACAGCTGTAGGCAGAGGTGGAGCTTTGGATGGCCTAGGGCCTTGTGTTGTTCTTCATTCATGAAAGACCTAGGGGGACCCCAGAGAGCTCCTTCAGTCCCTGAGTTCCTGTCACTCTGAGGACAAGAGATCTACAGGGCCTCAGCCATGACAGACTGGGCTATTCAGGAGATGAGTGGTACCACACACACAGAAGACAGACTAGCATGCCGGGGTTTCCATCCTGACGGCCTAAGACACAACACTCAAGAAAGACATGAACAGCTGGAGGGTTGAGTGTCCACTCCCACGGGGTACGTGGTTCTCTGAGCATCCTGTCTTATGTAAGCCTGAACTTTGGTGTCAGAGCCAGAACCCACTCTAGTCCAAGGCCGCCTTTATCCCAGACAGCAGAGATAATGTTTGCCTTTGATCTTTGCTAGCTACCCACACAGCCATCTGGTCCAGGCTGTGCCTGTGCCCCAGGAGGCTGTTGGGGAAGACAGAAGGGCTGCCTCTGTCTCAACCAGGATGCTACGGGCTCCTGACTCAAAACCTATCAGCTTGCTGGTTATGCCCCACCCAGCAACTCTGTTACATAAGCCTGTGTTTTCTCAGTCCTTGCGGCCTCTGGACACAAAGTCTATCTTCTCTCTGTACTCTCCAAGCTGTGCTGGAAGGAGAGAATCAGGAAAGCAAGATTGACAGTGTTCCTGGGATGTATCCAGAGCTAAGACAA